AAACTTGGATAGGCTGAATTAACCCAACGCACCTCTGGCAGGTGCACTCACCAAGCTGTATAAAGTATAATATTCAATTTATTATTTCTTTCTCAAGAGAGTTTTCTTCAGTCCATTAAGACCCAGGTCCCCTTACATGGGCTTTGGTGGAGGTCGTGGGGCAGCACGAGCAGGTCTACATCGGGGTGGAGGAGTTCGGTCCTTACAGGCTTCACGAGATTGATTTCTGACCACTTTGCTGTGAATGGCAGAACTCACACAATAATGCAGCTTCACATACAGCTTGGGAAGCACATAATTGTCAAAGACACTCGCTTTGGAAATGTCCCTGATGGCAGCGGCCTCCACTATGTTCCAAATGACAAACTTCTTAATAGGCTTATCCTTGGGTACGCACTGGACGCAGTTCGTGCAGTGAATAGGCTGCACAAGACCGCGGCCCTTTTTGGCACGACCGTTGTTCCTTCTTTTTTTCGTCATCTTGGAAAGGAGGACCTGAAAGAGCTGTAATAAGCATTATTTAGTAATATATTATTCTTAAACTCTCACCAAACTGAAAATCTCACATTATGTTCCTGCATCTGAGAAATTCTACCATTTTCTTTTTTTTTCGTTTGTGTATTTGTAGAGTCTCACTACACGGATCAGACTTGTGGTGATCTCCTATTTTCAGCCTCCCCAGCGCTGGGATTACAGCCATGCACCACCATGCTGGATTTGCTCGCTGGCTCAGTGTGCTCCACGGGTGGGGCTGGTGCAGCATGCAGGGTCAGGGATCGAACCCTAGTCCCTGTGCTTGCTAACGCAGGCTCTTTGTCCACTGAGCTATCTTGCCAGCCCTTACCATTTTCATTTTTATCTAAGGGTCTCAGTTCCTCTACCTTCCCCATTGTGGACAAATTGTGGTTTAGATTTTTTGAACATAGTCATCCCAGGACTTGAATTTAACATCATCCTTTGGAATTCCTTTCTGTTTTGAATCCCTGTTTGAATCTCTTGCCTATTTTGTGTCTTTTTTCAGTGCAGGGTAGCTTTTTGAGTAGTTATACATCAGAGGAAGATTGACAATTTACATTTTGAAATTTGTTTTTAAATCTGGACCCTTTCTGTACATAGTTCAGTTGGCTCCTCATTCATTTCTAGAGTTTGGGAAGTCTAAAGTTATTTGGTTGCTGATATTCTGTCTGTAGTGCCTGTTTTTTTTTTTTTTTTCTGGAAACTTACACAGTGTCCAGCTCTGAAATCATGAACAAATGTGTATAAGGGTTTAATGATGTTGCATTCTAATACAAGGAAAACAACAATCTGTGTGTATTTCTGTACTCTGTGGACACTGTAGAGCCTTCTCTTGTCTGCAGTTCTGAAATGTCATGATGAGGATGGACCTGACCTAAGGTGTTTTTCTTTCACTTTACAGGGTGAAAAGAAAAACTTTCTTTTCTTTCTTTCAATTTTAGAAAGTTTTTTTTTTTGAAATTTGTTTTATATTATTGTTTTGTTGATTTCCATTAAAAAAATATACATATATAGAGAGAGAGATTCCTGAATTTATCTTATGATTTTCAAACCTTGTCTCTACTTTGATTCATTTTTATTATTTCTCTGTACTTTCTGATTTACATCACTAGATATAATTCTTCTGTATATGTAGCTAATTTATCTTACCATATCCTTGATATAAAAGAGAATATACAAAGGAGTTATCATTAAAATTGTCTATATTCAATCCTGGAGAAGGGCCAGCCAAATAGCTCAGTGGGTTAAAGCACCTGCAAGCAGGTGCAGGGGCCGGGGGTTCGATCCCCTGGGCCTGCCCTGCCGGCCCCGCCCTCGGGGTGCATTGAGACGGTGATTAAGACTGGGCATGGTGGCATGTGCCTGTAATCCCAGCACTTGAGAGGCTGTAAACAAGAGAATCATTATGAGTCTGATCTAGTAGTGAGACCCTAACACCCTGTAAACCCTTCCCTAAACTACAACCCCCC